CCGCCATCGGTAGTCATTTCGATTGAAATTCGTAAGGTATGTCAAATCTCAATATCTGTTAGCTAGAATGTCCCCCTGTAAAAAATCAACCGCGTGATCGAATGACTTGAAATTTAGTCACCCAGTTTATTTGATGATGCTCACTCGAAATATGCTATGAATGAATCGTCGTTATACAGGGAGACACCGAAATGCACCAAAACTTTTCTATTTGAATAGGGACATCCAGTATATTATTCCATATTCAAGGAGAGTTCATTATAACAAATTCAACAATGCCGGGTTTGATGGGATTTTTTCAAACGACTACGAAGATATGGCAAAAAATAAAACGATTCAATAAACACGATTGAAATCGAATAAAAAGGAAATAATTAAAACCTCAACTGCTCAATATGTCGTCCATTCTGCTGTTAACATTTCCTACCTCTTTTTATAGCGTTTATTGTGACCCTATGTATCACGTTGCGCATAAATTTGTGATTTTCTCTTTCATTTCTTCCATATTCACAATTGACGACTCATGAACATGTTGTTTCAAGTAGCCCCATAAATAAAAATCAAGTGGGGTGAGGTCTGGCGACCCAGCTGGCCAGTTGCTATCACCATCGAGATAATTGGTACTCATTAGATTTTCTCCAAATCGATGGCAAAGATAACCCTTTACGGGTCTGTAGTTATGTATCGTTTTATTTTTTGCCATATCTTCGTAGTCGTTTGGAAAAATAGCATCAAACCCAATATTGTTAACTTTGTAATTATGAACTTTACTTGGATATGGAATTAATATACTGGGTGTCCCTATTCAAATAAGAAAGTTGAGGTGCACTTCGGTGTGACCCTGTATACCTACGATTTATTCAATAGCATATTTCGAGTGAGCATCATCGAATATACTGGGTGACCAAATTTCAAGTCATTCGATCGCGCGGTTGATTTTTTACAGGGGAGGACATTTTAGCTGGGACACGGTGTATATGTAGTATACATTGGCTGCGCTGAATATGGGCGTTTGCTATCGGTGAAGCAATAAATAATAGGCCAAACGTCTCACATGATATCTGTTGAGCGCCAATTTGAATCGAGAGCCATTTTGATTAAAATTCGTAGGTTGTGTCGACCCTGAGTGTTCCTTTCGACAAGCACCAGAATATCACGTGGCATACGTCATCTGTCTAAAATCATACGTATCGTCAGTTGAGTGCCATTTCGAATCGATAGCCATTTTGGTTCAAATTCGCAGGTTATGGCGACCCTTAGTGTCTGCTTTCATCAACGAGCACCAGAAGGTCACTTGATATATGTCCTCTGTCAAACATCATACTTATCGTTATTTGAGCACCATTTTGAACCGTTAGCCATTTCGACTGCTTGAGTGCCTGCTTTCGACGAGTACCGGAAGGTCACGTGGTATACGTCAGTTGTTGAATGTCATATACGTCAAAGGTTAGCTGAACCAGAGCGTTTAGCTTCAATGAGCACCGGAAGTATCATTAACGGCTTATATTATCTATCATATGTGAGCTGTCATCTGTCGAATGTCATACTTCATACGTTGGCTGTTATCTACCTAATGGGGATATGTTAAATGTTAACCATGAGTCACCCTGTATATTCTCAATTTTTTTCTCTGAAGCAGGTTTTTCGGATCTACCCTGTATATCATAAATTATGTTTCTACTTTCCCGAAAAGGCTTTTTGAAAAAGCACTTTATATTTCGAGAGAAAAAATTATTTATTCAATCAGTTTTACGTCTTTACTCCACCAAGATCATGTCTATTCTGGATTGCGGTTCACAAGGCATTTCGTTCTTTCCCTGAAATCGAATTTCTCACGGGAAACCGGGTTGCTGCTCACATAACTTAGTGGATCTCTCCACAGAAAAAAACAAAATTTATGGTTTGAAATGTTTAATATTCATTTATAATATATACAATTATTGTCAACGAAGGTGAAAACAGCAAGGAAAAAAATAGGTTTGTTCCAAAAGTTAAAATAAATATGATAGAAATTAACTTATATATTCCTTAGAACGAATAAATATAGGTAATTATGCTTCCCTCAGCAATAAAGTCAAATTTGACTCATACTAACAATATAACGTAAAATCAAAGTATAAATATACAATCAAAGTTGAGAGCTGGAACCAATTTATTCTGAAAATTCGATATTTCAATTCTCTGTTTCATTTCTTACATGCATGTATGGATATGTGTTATGGATACTATTTCAATAGTGTTACGTGTTAGTAGTATGAAAACAGTGAAATTGAAAAGTTCAGATCGATTAACCAGATAGTGCTAACAACTTCGAAAAATTACAAAAAAAAAAGAAAATTCCTAAACATGTAATAACAACCCATTTAATAAAAGTAAAACAATCGAGATAGTTAACTAGTTTCAATCTAAAAACTATTTTTCGAATTAAGAATATGTTTACAGATAAAGATAAATTCAGAATGATCAATCCCATGCACTATATAGGTAATGCCTGATGCCAGTTTGTAGTCATTGTCAATCTCAAACTAGTCAAACTGTCATCGAAGCCCCTCTAATCACAACTTCTTTCTCCCCCCCCCACAAAAAATCACGTATCCCAAACGCGCCTCCCCAGCTCTTCCAGCTGCCTGGCAACCTCCCTGGGCAAATCATCCCCCACCAGCTCCTGAAAATACCACCCTATCGCCTCGGCATCATCCACCCAGGACCCCTTGGAAATATCGAACAACTGGTTCATTTTTACTTTGTCCTCAATTCCCCTCCCAACGCCAGTGTCCCTGGCTTGAGTACCAGCCCGATGAACGTGTCCCTGGCGCAGTCCTCCTGGTCCAGTCTGCGCAGGATCCAGTCCAGGACTCGCGAGTTCTTCCCGACACCTGGCCAGAGAAATTCGCCCTGACGGAACAAGTCGACGTAGAAGAACAAAGATAAGTAAGGAATTTTCAGATAGATTAACCGGATATCCAAGATCCAGTCTAGAAGAATCGCGAGTTCTTCCCGAAACCTGGCAGAGAAATACGCCCTGGCAGCCGTGACTGTCCTGGTGGAACCAGTTAACGTGAGAAGTGATATTGAAATTTCCAGGAAGATTAGATAGAGCTGACTTAAACAAGTCCTTTGAAAAATCAGAAAAATACCAGAAGAATCCTTAGAATGTAATAACAATCCATTCAATTAGAGTAGAACAATCGAGATATAGTTAACTAATTTTCATCGGAAAAAAAATCCAGGAAGTATATTCTTACATGTAAAGAGACATTCAGAATAGTCAATTCCATGAACTATACATGAGTAACGAATACCATGGTACCTCAATGCCAGTTCGTAATAATTGTCAATCTCAAACTAGTCCTCCTAATCACAACATCATCCACCCCACAATAAATCTTATATCCCTAACACGCCTCTACAGTTCTTCCAGCTGCCTAGCTACCTCCCTGGGCAAATCTTCCTCCTCCTGCTCCTCAAAATACCACCCTATCGCCTCCACCCAAAATTCCTTGAGGATATAGAACAGCTGCTCCATCCTGTCCTGTCCTCAATCCTTCCTAACGCCAACGAGCCAGGTTTGGGCCCTAGTCCGATTGACGTGTCCCTGGCGCAGTCCTCTTGGTTCAGTCTACACAGAATCGAGTCCAGGACTCGTGAGGTCTCCCCAAAACCTGGCCAGAGAAATTCGCCCTGGTGTAAACCGAGATGGATTAACCAGATATCTAGGATCCACTCAAGAACTCGCGAGTTTCCACCGAATTCTGGCCAAAAGAACCCGCCCAGGCTGCCCTTGCAGAAACAGTTGATGCCGAAGGAGTGAGATTGAAACCTGGCCAGAGTAATTACCCCTGAGGGAACCAGTTGACGTGGAAGAAGTAAGATTGAAATTTCCAGTTAGATTAACCAGATAACCAGGATCCACTCAAGGACTCGCTAGTTCTCACTGAATTCTGGCCACAGGAACTCGCCCTGGCTGACCTTGCGGAACCAGTTGACGTGAAATGAGTGAGATTAAAACCTAGCCAGATAAATTCGCCCTGGTGGAACCAGTTCACGTGGAAGAAGTAAGATAGAAATTTCCAGATCGATCAATCAGATATCCAGGATCCACTTTAGGACTCGCGAGTTCTCCCCGAATCCTGACCACAGGAACTCGCCCTAGCTGCCCTTGCCACACCAGTTGACGTGAAAGGAGTGAGATTGAAACCTGGCCAGAGAAATTCGCCCTGGTGGAACCAGTTCACATAGAAGAGGTAATATCGAAATTTTCAGATGGATTAACCAGATATCCAAGATCCAGTCTAGGACTCGCGAGTTCTTCACGAAACCTGGCCAGGGAAATCCGCCCTGGTTGCCTTTGCGGTACCAGTTGACGTGGAAGGAGTGAGATTGAAATTCTCAGATAGAATAACCAGATAGAGCTGACTCAACGAATTCCTTGGGAAATCAAGAAAGTTGGAGAAAAATCTTGATAATTTGATAACGATACATTCAATGAAAGTAAAAGAATCGAGACTAGTTTCGAATCAGAAAAATATTCCCCGAAGTTCCTATATATTCTCATAAATGAAGATGCATTCAGAATTATCAATCCCATGCACAATATTTATAAGTTACAGATATCGAGGTGCCTCAATGCCAGTTTGTAATAATTATTGTCAATCCCAGTTGTATTTCAGAATAGTCAAAATAGAATTTCAGAAAGCGTCAAATGTTTTTCAGAAAAGTCATTTATTGTATTTCATAAAGTGTCATTTTTTTCCTTCAGAATAGTCAATTCAATTTGAGAAAGCGTAAATTGAAATTTAATTCGTATTTTCTAAATTACACTTTCTAAAACTCAATTGACTATCCTGAAACGAAATAAACGCTTTCTAAAATACAATTGACTATTCTGAAATACTATTGACGCTTTCTGAAATTCAGTTGACTATTCTGGAATACAATTGACGCTTCCTGGAATACAACTGGTAAAGGTGTAGTCACAACATCATCCCCCATACAGAAAATCACATATCCCCAACCCGCCTCTTCAGCTCTTCCAGCTGCCTAGCAACCTCCCTCGGCAAATCCTCCCCCACTTGCTCCTCAAAGTACCTCCCTATCGCCTCCGCTTCCTCCATCCAGAACCCCTTGGGGAGATCGAACAACTGCTCCATATCCACTTTGTCCTCGATCCCCCCTAACGCCAGTGTCCCTGGCTTGGGCACTAGCCCAATGGGCGTGTCCCTGGCGCAATCCTCTTGGTCCAGTCTGCGCAGGATCCAGTCCAGGACTCGCGAGTTCTCCCCGAAACCTGGCCAGAGGAATTCGCCCTGGCTGCCCTTGCGGAACCAGTTGACGTGGAAGATCTTTGGGAGGGATTGGGAGCGCTTCTCCATGGAGAGCCAGTGGTCGAGGTAGTGGCCGAAGTTGTAGCCGAAGAATGGGCGCATTGCGAATGGATCGTGCATTATCGTTTTGCCCTACAGATGAAGAAAATAGTTATTTTTGTATCAAGTGCGTGATATCTCAGTTATCTTTGGAGATAGAACCTTGCAGTTTTCGCGGTCCTGTGCTACTTTTTCGTGAAACTGAAGATGGCCTGATCAGATTTTGCAGGACTGTCTCCGTTTATGAGATACAGGGCGATTTTGAAAATGTATACTTTCTGGACCCCCTCTATATCTACGAAGTTTATCAGCGAAAATGTCAAATTAAAATCTCAACCCATAGAGAATTTTATGCAGAATCCAGTGGCGCACAAAAGTTTTTTTTCGGGGTGTGGTTTTGAAGATACGACTCAAACTTATGATTTTTTGAATTGAACACCCTGTATTTCACAATCTCATTAAATTCCTTATTCTTTTCCCTTCGAAATGATATATGATGTATGAATATAACATTTTCAAAAATGTTCAAAAATCACTAAAACATTGAATTTTAATAGTGGGCTATGGGTTTTTCGAGGGAATTTCATATAAAGTAATTTACAATTGAAGGAATATTTCCTTTGATTGTTCCATGAAGGGGAAAATAACAATTTCAACACTAATTAACTTGCAATACACAAAACTTAGATACCTGATATCCACAAATATATAGTAATAAAAAAGTTATAATGTGATTTATTCATTGAATTGTTCAAATTGATGTCCATTTTCCATCACAAACTTTCTCAATACATATTAATCATTGAAAGATGTCTTCGTAACTCCTGGAAAACTGCCTCTGTTGTTGCACAAAGTTCTTCAAGTATGTTGGGCCACTCACTGTATTAAGAATTATTAAGGAAGTTTGTCAACTGTGTGTTAGGGAAAATGGATATCAATTTGAACATGTCAATGAATAAGTTACTGAATAATTCCGGAATTCAATTGTTCTAGTTAATATTTAATCAGGTGCTTATTCTACATTATAAACTTTTTATTACTATTTATTCGTCGCTATCAGGTACCCAATTTTAGTGTATTGTTAATTAATAAGTGTTGATATTGGTTTTGACCTCTCCATGGAAAAATTTGAAGAACTATTTCTTCAATTGGAACGTTTTTTATAAGAAAAATCCATGACCAACTATCAAAATTCAATATTTTAGTGATTTTGAGCAATTTTGAAAATTAGGAATTCAATGAGCTTATGAAATACAGGGTGTTCCATTAAAAAATCATAAGTGTGAGTCATATCTCCAAAACCATACCCCGAAAAAAAAATTGAGTGCGCCACTGGATTATGCGTGGAATTCTCTATGCGATAAGATTTTGATTTGACATTTTTGTTGAGAAACTTCGTGGATATGGAGGGGGTCCAAATAGTATAAATTTTCAAAATCGCCCTGTATCTCATAAACGGAAACAGTCTTGCAAAATCTGATTAGGCCACCTTGAGTTTCACAGAAAAGTGGCACAGGACCGCGAAAACCGCAAGGTTCTATCTCCAAAGATAACTGAGATATCAGGCAAAAGCATCGAAAACTGGACACACTGTACATCATCTACAGGATGACATAGAAAAAATTACATTGCATAGTGCCACACAATAGAGGATACTAAAATGAGAAAGAAAGGTCCTATGAACAGGGGTCTGCAACGCCTTTGGTTTAAATAAACGGGGTGTTGAATTTAAATTTTTTTCGTTTTTTTTTATATCTTCAGCCAGAGACGCAAGAAATGGATGAAATGTGGTATACAGGGGTTTTTCATCATGCTAAATTCAAATATGATCTTAGTTTTGTGATGACTGATAGAGGGCGCTACATACAGGGTTCCATTCCTATTGAATCGGTCGTAACTTTTTTGCTATACACTGTATGTCATTTTCGACAGAAAAAAATTTGTTATCCCTTCTTTTATTCTTAAGAAAGGTATACTTTTTCCAAGTCGCTTGAAGCAATGGTTTCAGTACAAATACATCTAAAACCGACAATACACGCAGATTATTCAAAAAGCGACAAAGTAACTTTTGCAAAAACAATGATAAATACTTCAACAATTACATTTTATTGGTATGATAAAAAAATTGATTGATTAGAACAAATCATAAGTTCTTAGAAGATGTTCAAATTGTTGCCCTTGTACTTCAATACATTTTTCCATTAAAATTCAACACCCCCCCAGCAAACATGATTGAGCGGTAAATAGGCGGCCGATTGCTGGTAACTGCGGTTAGTTGTCGGCAGCGGCACACCTATGTCGTTAAAATGTTGAAACGACATCGGTTTTGCCGCCATGGCTGAACGTACGCATGTTTATAATGGATGTTTGTTATTCAGCCAGAAATTGCCCGTTTAAAATTCCCGACAATCGTGCCGATGTCGCTTTGACGCAGTATGTATGTTGTTTACAGGTCAGTGGTAACTGAACCAAACGCAATGTTGGCATCACTGGGTTTTTGAGCATTGGTAGTACTGCTAATTTATTTTCGTGTTTTAGTTCTGTGTCCGTAGATCGCGTCAGTTGTCTGTCACTTGTCTTCAGGTATTTGTTAAACGGCGTGATAATATTAATATTATTTAGAAAAAGTTGGTGAGTTTTATGATTGATCCCAGCAAACTATCGTCCGACATCAAGAATAATGATATATGTTATATAACAATAATTAAACTCGTTATTGTCTACCAATCCATTTTTGTGGTAATGATTTTGAGCTAAATATTTGTTCATTACCCTATATTATAACAATGATGCTCCAATGCGAAGTTCAGCTCTTTACCTATATTCGAAAAATATTTGATTCACAGTAATAGATCAAACACTGGAAAAGTAATGTGGCTAGAACATTATCAGACTAAACCTATTCTACGTCGTCGAATCAACAAGTTATGATAGGTATATCGTATATGATCAAATATCAAATATAATTGAAGTATTGTACTATTTCAATTCTGTTGACTGATGGATTCGTAATAGTATCTTCCAAGTTTCGCAGTAGCCTAGTGGTATAAGCGTCTGACAGTTGATTGGATATCCGTTCGATCGCAAGTTCGAGTCCGACTCCCGACTATATCTTTTTTTTATTTCTAACCGAATAGTGTCGGTAGATAGTCGGGCGGCCTACTAGCGGCCGGTGCGACACGGGCTAGCCGGGCCGACGATGTATCATGATTGTGGCCCGCTGATGTTGACTGTCGGCAGTTTTTGGAGGGCGTCTAAAGGCCCGCGCGATACATGTTTGCTGGGCCGTATCTTTTAACCGAAGGCCTTGCGGACCCATGTTCATAGGAACTTATTTCCTTATTTTAGTGTAGTCTATTGTGTGGCACTATGCAATGTACGTTTTTTTATGTCACCCTGTATACTAATATTATAAAGAGGAAAGATTTGATTGCTTGTTTGTTTGTATGTATGTATTGAACAGGCTCCGAAACTACTGGATCGATTTGGCTGAAAATTGGTGTGGGAAGTAGCTTAAAACCAGGAGAAGGTTATGGGATACTTTTTATCCCGGTACCATCAGGAAATTCAAGATGTCGGATCTAATATATCGGACGAGTTTTGTAATTATGGTCCGATTCTATTCAAAATTGGTATGTGAGGGTTTTCGGGGTCGGAGATTATGATTCTTTCGTCAGAATTTGAAAATTCGGGCGGAATTTGGAAATTCAAGATGGCAGAACCAATATGGCGGACGATTTTTGTAATTATAGTCTGATTCTTTTCAAAATTGTTCCCCTATAGGGGTTCTTGTGGTCGGAGAATATGATTCTTTCGTCAATATCGGGGAATTCAAGTAAACTAAAAAGAAGTTGAAATAAATGTTAGTTTGCTGCTAGTCAAAAATAAGATGATAGTCTGGTATTACTTGAGTTTTTACAATTCGAATTCATGATTGATCACAGAACCGATACATTTTCAGAATTCAACCTATTAAATGTTAGTTTGCTGCTAGTCAAAAATAAGATGATAGTCTGGTATTACTTGAGTTTTTACAATTCGAATTCATGATTGATCACAGAACCGATACATTTTCAGAATTCAACCTAATAAATGTTAGTTTGCTGCTAGTCAAAAATAAGATGATAGTCTGGTGTTACTTGAGTTTTTACAATTCGAATTCATGATTGATCACAGAACCGATACATTTTCAGAATTCAACCTAATAAATTAATGTTAGTTTGCTGCTAGTCAAAAATAAGATGATAGTCTGGTGTTACTTGAGTTTTTACAATTCGAATTCATGATTGATCACAGAACCGATATACATTTTCAGAATTCAACCTAAGCTATGTAATATCATTTTTCTTCAAGCGGCAGGAAGAGTGTGGCTCTTCTCTAACACTCAACAGGCAGGAAATGTGTACTTTCTCTCCCTAGACAGGCAAAGTTTATTGCTATGCAACCTTCCGAGTAATTTGAATAAAATTGGTAATTCAAATTGACACTGACTTTGAGTGAACACGAAATGATGGTGCTTTCAATAAAAAAAATACACAAAATTGGTTTTATAACATTTGGAGAAAAAATTGTATGTGTCACATGGTAACAAATGACAAATGTATATTGACTGGCTTGGCTGACTTCCTAGCCTCGCTACGCTCCGCTATAAACCATGAGCCGCATCAGTCAATCTACTATACTCTGCTGCCTAGTAAGACAAATGACTTTTTCCCAATATGTATTGCTGAGGTTAGTACCAAGTGACCAGTTATATTTCGACCCATTTAAAATGCTTATATCTCTGAAACCATTCAAGTTATCGTTGTGCAGTTTGGACTAGTCTATTTTGATATTTTTCAAGTTTTTTTTTACAGGTTCACCTTCTCTCTTGAACATCCGGTTCTACCGGAAACAAACTAGCCATTATTCAGGTGTAGAGCAACTTTTTTATTTCATTGAATCACCCTGTATATTTTTGCACATTCAGAAAGACTGGTCTTTTCTCTTTCTGACAATGTATAACAAGTTATGTTTTCTTAGAAAACTATCAGAGTTATAACTGTTTGAAACAACTACTGCATGTGGAATGGTTTAATGAGATTTAGCAATGTAACCAAAGTCGTCTTTGGAAATCCTGATCACAACACATGAAATGCCAGATAAGATGTATCAAATAAAGATTGTCGAGCATTTGTACTTTCTTCGAGTTGAAAAAATGTTTACTTTGACTGAAAAAGCAAATGAACTCATCATAAATCTGCATCAGATTTATACTCAATATACGGTAATTCAGCATTTCAGTATAACATCCTAATATGCAGTAGATGCTTCAAACAGTTATAACTCTGATAGTTTTCTAAGAAAACATAACTTGTTATACATTGTTAGGAAGAGAAAAGACCAGTCTTTCTGAATGTGCAAAAATATATAGGGTGCTTCGATGAAATAAAAAAGTTGCCCTATACCTGAATAATGGCTAGTTTGTTTCCGGTACAACCGGAAGTTCAAGAGAGAAGGTGAACCTGTCAAAAAAAACTTGAAAAATATCAAAATAGACTAGTCGAAACTGCACAACGATAACTTGAATGGTTTCAGAGATATAAGCATTTGAAATGGGTCAGAATATAACTGGTCACCCGGTATAACATAGTAGACTCTTTCTTGCTTTCTTGCTCTTTCACACACCCCCCATTAAATAAGTTTGTGGTCGACCAACTTTGTGCCTTTTATTGTTTTTTCTTTCAGAACTCATAACCCTTCCAGCCAACCATGAGAATAAAAAAAATCCACTCACTTTATGTTCTGCAGCTGCGGTAGACTCTGATCTCATCGAGGCACCAATGAACACCCCGTGTTTCCAGTCCCTCGCTTCATACACTAGGGGCACCCCGGCGGGCCTACGACCCCCGAAAAGTATCGCTGAAATCGGTACCCCCTCAGGGTGCTCCCACATGGGGTCTATGATGGGGCACTGGTGAGCAGGTGTACAAAACCTGCAAGAAAATGTATTCGGTTCAAACATAGCACTAGTTATACTAGATACACAATGATTTTACTGGAGATTCAATCTGGAGATCGTTGAAGGAATGTTTTCTGAAATCATCGATCTCTATAGAGCGTTGTTATAGCCGTCTGAGTGGAAGTTTCATCAGTTAATGGTTGGGTGTTCATGAGGATCACTTAATTAGCCTCTTTTCCATTTGATCCAATTAGGTATGATGGCTTTTCTAAGATGCTGTCATCTCAGCTCATGCTCCTACTCGAATAATGCTCAAGGCTCCACCAACAGTCACCCTATGCTTCCAATGCTTCTCGAAACTTGGTTGCCCAAAGCTTCACCATCATTAAGCGTAAATTTCAATTGCTTCCAGACCCAAAATGAGCCCGAAATCCAAAGGAAAGGCTCCCTGGTCCATATCAAATTTAGGCAACAGATGAACTTGTAACTGTGGATCCTCTTCCTACTCGAATGATGCCCAAAGTATCAACAGCGATGACCTCGACCTCCTATAACTCTTGAACCGAAAGGGCTCTGTGAATCATTCCTTATCAAGGTTGAAACTTGCTCTCGTGGACTTTCTGTCTATTCAAATGACGCCTAAAGATCTACCAGAAGTGGCTTCCAGGAACTGAAGTCCTAAGCGAAAACTGAGACTTGAATCTATGAACACGCAAGACTATAAAACTAACGCTAACAAACTGCAAGAAACAGGAACCTCCTGGTAACTTGTAGAAGTAAAACACTAAGGTTATCTACTTCAGAGATGTGATAGCTGTGACTGTTGATGATTAATTCATTACCCTCATTTCCGTTTGCTTCAATGGGGTTTATATACTTGAATGGCTTCTCTGAGATGCTATCAACTCAGCTCATACTCCCACTCAAATAATGCTCACAGCTCCACCAAGTCACTCTAATTTTCCAATGCTCCTCGTCACTTGGTTCACCATCAAGTAGGTACCGTAAATTTTCAATGCTCCTTGACCCAAAATGAGTAAAAACTGAAGAGGAAAAGTTACCTTAAGTCCTTGGCGAAAACTGAAACTTGAATCTATGAACAAGCAAGACTGAGAACACCGCTCACTAACAGCACGAACTCGTCGAACCATCGGGAGCCTTTCGGTAGCTTGTAGAAGCAAAACCCTAGGGTATCTGTTATGATGCTATGACAGCTACATAGAAAAAGACACTTGGAGTTAGGATGAGCTGCAGGTCGGACTTATCCCACTTGTTGCCTCGCCAATCAGTAATCAGGCGACACCTCCTTCTCCATAGCCTCCCAAAACATACCCCTGTCACTGATGGTAGCCACGTTAGTGAACATGATGTTCCTGAAGATGGCGTCCATAGCGATATGAGGTTGCTGCTCCTCGAGGTGCCAGGACCCACAACAAAGAAGCCATTCATGGCGCGCAAATAATGCTTAAGGCTTCACCAAGGCACCCTAGTTATCTGATGCTTCTCGAAACTTGGCTGCCCAAAGCTTCTCCATTAATGGCCGTGAATTTTCATTGCTTCTCAACCAAAGAAGAGTCCGAACACAAAAGAAAAGCTCCCTGATCCGCATCAAACTTTGGCAAGGGATGAAACTTGTAACTGTAGACCCTCTTCCTTTCCAAATGATGCTCAAAGTATCACCAGCGATGACCTCAGATTTCTATAACTCGTTCAGCCAAAAGGGCTTGGTAAGTCAGACCTTGCCATGAGCTTCAACTTGTTTTTGTGGGCGCCTTGTAATCTACGAACAATAAATTCTTGGCCCTAAGTCATAAGCAAAACTGTAAGAATACCACTTAGTAACTGAAGGAACTCGTCAAACCAGGAGCCTTTTGGTAACTTGTAGAAGCAAAACCCTAGGATTTAACTGCTATGAAACTGTAACATCACTATAGAAAAAGCATAAAAGAGCAGTAACTTCGCAATGTGCCTCATGTGGAATCGAGGTTGATGACGCTCAAATAATACGCAAGGCTCCACCATGTAACCCTAAATGTTCGATGCTTGTCTAAACTTGGCTGCCCAAAGCTCTAGCATCAATGTCCGTGAATTTCGATTGCTTCCTGACCCAAAATTAGCCCGAGCTCAAGAAAAAAGGCTCCATGGTCCATATCAAACCTTGGCAAGGGATGGAACTCAAATAATTTCCAATATTTCACCAGCAAATACCTGAATCACTATAACTTGTTCAGTCAAAAGGGAATGGTGAATCAGACCTCGGCAAGAGATTCCACTCGTTCTTGTGAACGCCTGAAGATCTACAAAGAACGACTTCCTGGCATCCAAGTTCTTGGCAAAAATCGGAACTTGAATCCATGAACACGAAAGGCTAAGAGTATTGCTCACCAACTACAAGACGAAGTCAAATCAGCAGTCTCTTGTTAACTTGTTGAATCAAAACCCTGGGGTTATCGGCTTTGACAGCTTCATGGAGAAAGAGTAAAGACCAGCGGCTTCGCAATGTGCCTTACCTGGAGTTGGGATGAGCAGCAGGTCCAGACTTGTCCCACTTGTTGCCTCGCCAGTCAGTAATCTCCGCATCAGGAGACACCTCCTTCTCCATACCCTCCCAGAACACCCCCCCATCGCTGGTGGTAGCCACGTTAGTGAACATGGTGTTCCTGAAGATCGTGTCCATGGCTATGGGATTGCTTGCTCTCGAAGTGCCAGGAGCCACGCCGAAGAATCCATTCTCGGGGTTAATGGCGCGCAGTTGGCCGTGGCTGTCGAAGCGCATCCAAGCTATGTCGTCTCCGACGCACTCCAGCTTGTAGCCTGGCAAGGAGGGGGTCATCATGGCCAGGTTGGTTTTGCCGCAGGCCGAGGGGAAGGCGGCGGCGATGTAGCGTTTTTTGCCTTCGGGGTTGGTGATGCCCAGGATCTGCAACAGGGTGGTTTTGTGAAGGTCGAAGATGACGGTCCAAATATAAGCATTATACAGGTTGAATAACCTGAAACGCTCCAAGCCATGGGTAGATAGAACTTACTCAACAAAGTGAGAGACACTCAAGTCATTACCACACATACGGTCTCCGAGTGTTCAGTTCTCGATATTCAGGGTATTGAAGTTAAGGAATAAAAGAGTTTTTCCTTGGTTTTTTGGCAATAATTCAATGATGATTGAATATTTTGCATTCGAATCTGGATTATGGTTTCATATTTGAATAGGTCATTCTTCAACAAGAAATTCATGCCGGACATTTTATCCAGTGGTGCGCTACATGGGGTGGTGGTAACTTTTCCTCCCATATGTTTTACGCCACTGATGAAATTTCTATTTCGTAATTCAATGGTCTGCGTGGCATATAGCCACGAAAGTATTTGTTTTTCTTCCGTTATCTACCATTTTCGTTCATTTTATCAATTATTGTGGTAATGACGTTGAGTTTCTCCATCTTTGTTACCATTTCATTCCACTTTGAGTATTTTGGCCGTTTCCTTGTTGAGAACTATTTTAGTTGAATACATAAGAAGAAGTGACGTTACTCTCTGATGCACCGAATTGCTGGAGTCATCAGTGTTAAAAAAACGCAGTTATTTGACATGACAATTACAGCTGTTTGTTTCCATTATCTATTTTTCTTTTCGTGATTTGATGGAGATTCAGGTTAATTTCAATTGGAAGCTCAGAATTGGCGAAAAATAATGTAAAATGGAAAATGATCTATTAAAAGTGTTATTGGAGTCCTTCTCTCAAGATCCAGAAGTTCTAGCAGTTCTTCTGATAGTTCGATGGAATATTGTTTATGTTGGGGAGTAGACGAGATACGTTGTAAATTCTCAACAACCTTTAAACAAAACATTGCATTGAATTGTGATGATATGGATAGAGTCATTAATAAGAATTCTCTGTTGGTAGGTACTCGAGTTTCCTGAATGTTTGAACTGATTTCTTGATATTCATGATGGGAAAGAAAAAATTACCTACCACTCGAAATTTTTTAAATTTCTGTTGTGTCAATAATGCAGTTATCCTTTTATTTTCATATTCTAGACTGATTTAGATTAATTCATCCATATCTTTCTTAGTCAAATGGCAAACAGCTTTCGAACATCTCTGTACATCGGTGGAATGGTTTGCAATTTTGGTTGATACAACAGTAATAAATGAACGCGTGGTGACGTCAGACTGGAATCCACCAAAGAATGATGATGACCGACCCTGGAGGTGAAACATTGAAACACAATCTCACTTTTCCCATTTGTTTACAAGTGATTGAAAAAGTATCCTACGATTATTTTTGCATACGAATCGTGTTTTTCACATAAATGCAGCGGGAGACGAAGGTATCCGGTTAGTACATTAAGATATAAAAGTAAGTACCTACTATATAGTCACTCACATGTAGTTTTTATTTTGAAATTCGGTAATTTCTCTAATTTCTCATCGGAATTCCTTCTGCAATAGGAGCTAATAGAAATACTCGTGAAATTTCTAAAATAATGCAAGAAGATTGGAATCATGCAATCAAACGGGAGGACTGGTCTGACGACATGCTGACGAAATATGATTTTCGATCTATCAGAAGTATTAGCTTCTATTGCAGAAGTATTAGAAGGAATTTCAACAAGAAATGACGAAATTTCATAATGAAAACTATGTGAGATGACTATCTACCTGAAAAATCATATTCCTTGGTCTCTCGCTGCATTTTTTGTGCATTGTACAACAGCACAATGAGAAGGCATGCTTGAATTAATGAATAGCGCGAAAAACAAGATTCGTATGTCAAAATATTGTGAAAAACTATTTCAATCCTTTGACACCTCTGTAAACAAATCAAAAAAGTGAGGTTGTGTTTCAATGTTTCACAGAAAAGTGAGTTTTTTTTTTATTTATTTATTTATTTATTTATTGAACAAATAACTTCCAGACAAAATAGGCTCTGGTATAAGGAAGTACATAATTATATACCCATAGGAAAACATATCATCATTCAAAATATATCAACAACTGTAAATTGGCAAACAAAGAATAATATTTGTAGAAGAAAATGGCATGATTAATTTTATCCAGTTTGCTCAGAAATAATCAGTTTTTTACTTCGTTTTTAAATTTACCTATATTTCTGCCATTTTTTATATTGCCAGGTAGTTTATTCAATTCAGTTAAGGCTGAATGAGTGAATATTTTTTGTCCGATTGTGGCGATTTTGACGCTAGCGGCGTCAAGATGAAACAAGTAATATTGTCTAGATTCATGATTTTGAATTTCAGAATTCCGTATCAAAATAATATTCGACTTCAATTTTTTATTTATGATATTATATGATATTTTAAGAGTTTCAATTCTATATATTTCATTTGAATAACACGTATTTGTTATTTCGTATAATTGATTGGATGGTGTATCAAATGGAAGACGATACAATACTTTTAACGATTTTCTTTACATATAATGTTGATATCTTATTGAAATTATTTCTTGAACAAGATTCCCAAACAATTATTAAATAGTTGATACGACTCAGTATATGAGAGTAGAGAATCATGTTCGCAATTTTAATATCAAGTTTGGGCAATCAATGCACCAATAATTAGAGATTTTTTTTTGTCAGAACATCAATATGTTTGTCCCACTTCAACCTGTCATCAAACCAAATACGAAGATATTTTATCTGGTCAGTTTGTTTCAAATTTTTTGTTTATTTTTTTGGTGAAAAATCATATATTCTGTTTTGTTAGTATTTATCGATAAAAGGTTAGAGTGGAGCCATTTTTCAAGTATTTTCAAGTCTTCATTTATCATATTCTCTAAATTTGAGGTATTCTTGCCTTCATATAAAAGTACTATATCATCTGCATTCTGCATACATGGTATATTTACTCGCTAGACTAATATCACTGATATTTTGAACATAAAGTGAATATAATATAGGTCCTAAAACAGTGCCTTGTGGGACACCCTTATCGATTAATAGTTTATTTGACACAGAGAGTTGGTTGATTTTGTATTGATCATACTATTTTCGAGATATGAATTCAAAATATTTCTCACAGTGCCTCTGAGTCCCATTGTGTTTCAATACCTCCATGGTCGTTCATCGTGCACGCGACCTATATGAACACAGTTGGTGGATTGATGGAGCTACCGGTGAATAAAAAAAGTCCCTAAATTCTTCGCAAAAAGATTCCACCTACCAGCATATGCTCTGCCAACCACCCTTCCTTCTTAGCGATCGTCGACCCGATCCTCAACGCCAAACACTTCTTCCCCAGCAGCGAATTCCCCCCGTACCCGCTGCCGTAGGACACGATCTCGTCGTTCTGTGGCTTGTGCAGAATGACGGTCCTCTGGGGGTCGCAAGGCCAGCTCGGGTACTCCAGGCGGCCGTCCTGCGGGGCACCCACCGAGTGCAGGCACTTGACGAACTCGGCGCCCTTGGCGAGTTCGGCTAGTACGGGCCTGCCCATGCGCGTCATGATGCGCATAGAGGCCACCACGTACGGAGAGTCGGTCAGCTCGATGCCTGGAACACAGTTTTTTTTTATCGCTTGGAGCACACGAAAGGGAATTCCTATAATGTTCAAAGAACATCTTGCGTTCTTAGGGAGGATAGGGATAGGAGGTAGGTATTGGAATTTCTTTTGAACTTCTGGAGATTATATGTTGTTGGGAATACTTCCTCAGGCAATGAATTCCAGAGCCTAGCCGTTCTATAGATGAAGGAGTTTTGATAAAGTGCTGTTCGACATCTTTCGAGGTTGACAACGAAAATTACATTGTATAAATTACAGTTCCAAAATGTACTTGACACTGCTGTTTCGACGTTTCTTGTATACAGTGTGTCCCACTTACCATGCTCACCATGGGTATCTTTTTAACTGTGAGAGATACGAGGTCGGTTAAATGACACCAAATGTGTAGTTTGTCAAGGCCAACTATAATGTGAAAAAATATTTCGATAAAATCTATTCGTTATTGTTTTACACGCAAAAAACAGATTTTGATCATTTTCATGTCTCCTCCGTAACTTCTTTATTTATGAAAATATTCAAATGGAAATTCCACATTCTCATGGCAGTTTTTCAAATTGATTTCGAAAAAGATATGAAATTTATACCAACTCTTCTAGAATTTGAGATATCAGCACCAACTTTAGTTTTTCAAATGTAGGTCATAGCTCACTATGACTTAGTTACAAATAACTTTTTTTTCTCTTACAGATGATATGTCGCAGTAATAGTTTCGTGTTGATAACAACGGAGTTATCGTCATTTATACAAAAACAAAAAATTATTTGGAAGCCGCCATCTTGAATTTATAAATTTTAACAAAAAACTCATCATCTCCGACCTCAAAAACCCCCACTTACCAATTTTGAATGACAATACATTATGGAATTTTTGTTGAAATAAAAAAAAATGGCTGCTCCAAGATGGCGGACAAGATTTGGTCCGATTCCATTCAAAATTGGTAAGTGGGGGTTTTTGAGGTCGGAGATCTTGATTTTCGTGTTTAAATTCATAAATTCAAGATGGCGGCTTCCAGATAATTTTTTGTTTTTGTATAAAAGACGATAACTCTGTTGTTATCAACACAAAACCATTACTGCGACATACCATCTGTAAGAGAAAAAAAAGTTATTTGTAACTAAGTCATAGTGAGCTATGACCTACATTTGAAAAACTGAAGTTGGTGCTGATATCTCAAATTCTAGAAGAGTTGGTATAAATTTAATATTTTTTTCGAAATCACTTTGAAAAACTGCCATGAGAATGTGAAATTCCTATTCGAATATTTTCATAAATAAAGCAGTTACGGAGGAGACATGAAAATGATCAAAATCTGTTTTTTGCGTATAAAACAAAAACGAATAGATTTTATCGAAATATTTTTTCACATTATAGTTGGCTTTGACAAACTCCACATTTGGTGTCATTCAACCGACCTCAATCTCAATATCTCTCACTGTTAAAAAGATACCCATGGTGAGCATGGTGAGTGGGACACACTGTGTTAGAGTACGGACAGAGATGTATAGAAATTTAACTGGTGCGCATGCTCCCTATTGAAGGTCGTTTGCAAGTTTCTCGATGGCGCCTACTCTGATAAACCTTTGATAAACATACTTGACGTGGGTAAATCTCGCTAAGCTCATCCTGGTTACAATCCATATTTACAGGAAACATATTACCGACCGATAAATATTTGGATACGTATATGATTTGGATCAGAGCAGTGAACTGATTCCTGATCGAAGGATCGAAACGTGAATATGTCGAAAATATTCTTGAGTCTAAAAAAAATGGATATTTCTGAGATTGAGGTCAAGTGTTCGTTAGGGACGTGTTCCGTAGTTTCTTAACTTTGTGTATAATACCTAATCCGCCATAGAAAAAAGAAAATCTCTGTTCTACAACAGTATTATTTCAGTGATTTGAAATATTAGCTTGAACTGGTGTGAATAAATTCTAAGGTGAGTACCAGTTACCATATCTGCCTATTATGATTTTCGATATCGGTCAATTTCAATAGTTGATACATTCTTTGTTCTGGTTCTTCAAAGAGGAATTTCATCAGATTTCATGCTTTAAATAGGTTCATGTCATGAAAGAAGTGAAGCTTATTAAAATCGGCTACAAAAAAGATTTCTTGCTCACAGAACCAAGATTTTGAACGATTTTCCGATTATGGCGCCTCTATCGCAAATACCTGAACCCCACGTCCAAAACTCGCTTGCAATTGTTCCATATCGAGAGTTAGTCTGACGAAACAATTGAAGAGTGAGCCCACCAGTTAAATTTCTATACATCTCTGTACGGACACTATGACAAGCACTGACAATCAGACATAACCACAAATAAATTAATAGAAAAAGCGGGAACTGACAGTACACGGACGTACACAGTCATTCCGTATATTTAAACAGCTTCTACAGGGGTCATCATTGAAGATAGAGAAAAACTTCGAATGCAAAAGTTGTAGAGTTTGTTCTGAACCTCCGGAAAATTATGCCAGATGAAACAAATGAATATCGCTGATATAAGAAATGAGTACCAACTTCGTTATTTTCAATGGAACACCCTATTTATTTTTCTAAAAAATTCAAGATCTCTTCTTCCTGATCCCAAAAATATATTGGTCATTGATATTTGGTTCAGCCGTTTTGGAGATATTTGATATTGAACATTTTAGATTTAGTTTTAATTTGATTTCACCAAATCGCAATTGTCATCAATAAAACGTTCTGTCATATGGGCATTGGCAACAATTCTACAGCTATAGTAGCATCATCATCATCATCAACTCCAAAACTCCTAATTATGCTGAAGATAGTCTTCTATAAGACTGAAACATCTTTTCTTCTTTTGTCACTCCACTTTGAGCAATATGGACTTCTACCAATAAGGAATACGCATGATTTTTTGTTTAATCGAAATTATATTCCTTCTTCCTGATAATAACATTGGATATCATTCATTGATCTCAAATTTGCTTGTGACTCTAAAGTCACAGGAAAACGGGTTAGTGGCCATCACTAATATTATGACGTCATAGTATTAGGCCGCACAGCCATAGACTAGCGCGACAGAATGACAAGATTCAGATTGAAAAAAAAAGAAGAAGAAGAGGTAGGAGAAGAAAACAGTTTTAAACGCCAGAAATTTGAAATTTGAAAATGGAAAATGATGTTTATACCAAATACTGTTTAGTGCCGCAAAGCCTTTCATCAACAAAAGTATCACCAGGAAAAATATTCCTTTCATTGCCAGTGGGATCGAGTGATAAAAATAAAGAGAAAAAAAAATTATGGTTGCAAGCCATAAATAGAAATGATTTATCCGAGAAAACCAGAGGATTTGTTTGTGAAGACCATTTCGAAGTGAGTATACGTTCAAGTATGTCCTAGTGAAACCCATTATACATATATCAATGATTATGTTCCTCATGTTATCAGGAGAATAATATAATATGTGATTTCGGTTTCAGCTGGAAGAAGATATGGAAAACTATTTGAGATATAAATTGATAGGTGGTAATATATATTCGAAACAACATGCAAAAAGAAGTCCTGTTTGATCATTCTTATTGTAGATATTTGCTTATTATTCAATTATTATTATTCAGAATATTGAGATCATATAATTGAGATAGATTATAGAAACTACAAGCTCAGATAATCATAACCTCACTTTCTCTTTTTATATTATTTTCAATCTTTCGGACATGAATAATGTTTGACATGACAAATAAAAACAGCCACATCCAGTCGGAAATCATCGCTGCAGTTCGGCTGTTGGTCGGAAAGTTGCAAATATTATGATTTTCAATCAGAAATTGTTAAATATTCGGTGCTTAATAATGTTTTTCGGATGTATAATTCGACATCATGTTCGACATCTATACATATGAGTAATGGAACAAAAATATATTCCAGTGTAAAATTTTCACACGAGTATACCCTATTGAAGATTAAAGAAAGAAATATATCTTGTCTATTCTCACCGATTTTGGAAAGGGGGGAAGCCACCGGCCCCATGGAAAAGGGTACCACGTACATGGTCCTGCCCCGCATGCACCCTTCGAACCGCTCCCTGACCACCTCGTCCATGTCCTGGGGCGGCATCCAGTTGCCCAACGCGCCCTTGACGCCCTTCTTGGGCGTAGGGATGGTGTCGGACCGCTTCTCGGTGCAGATGAACGTCTTCGACTCGACTCGGGCGGTGTCGGCAGGGTTCGTGCGCGCCAACCAACTATAATAGATATTTATACACCAAGGTAGTGAAGATAGTTATTTATCATACAAGGGAAAAAAGTAGTAGATTTTAGCTCCAGGTGAGCTAAAATCTGATATTTTTCCCGTGTATAACACTATATTCTTCTGTGACAGAAGAAAGGACGAATCAATATTGAGAAGATATTACATTATTTTAAAATCTGAAAATTATCGATGTGAAATTTTAAGTTTTCAACAGTAGGGACACCTGCTTGGTAGACATCTTTATCTTTCTTTCGAAGTAAAGTTTATCCAAAAACAATTGCAGATTCTTGTGTCGTACCTGCAGCCACTTTAAAGGAAACTTCAAAAACGCCGACGCCGCACAGTGCGAGATATTCTGCAATTGATATTGGATATACTATAATCAAATATCTGATATCACTTTTGTCAGTCCAATTCTGTGATTTGATTTCAAAAAATTACGAATTTAGTGGTTGTTTAGTAATATACGTAACCGCGAAGTCGAATGGAAGATAAAAGGACTTGCATTTCTTCCTCGGAGACGGTGTTATTGACTCATTTTTCGGAACTATAGCACAAGAAATGCCATCAACAGTGTATATATATGTGATATATATCCGGAAAAAGTACTCACTTTTTTCCCACGGGAAAAAAGTAATTTATGAAAAGTGACATTTTATAACCTGCCGACAGAGATGAAATGTCAAACTTTTTTCCGTCACAGAAAAATAGATATTTACCAACTGACTGTACCGGCAGTAGGCTTTCGCTACCGCATTTATACAGGGTTTATATAAATCACATCGAAAAATTTCGAGGGGTGATTCCTTGTTATATTTCAAGAAATAAAGTTCATATAAACATGTGTCCTAACTTGCTTTGTTTTTGAGATACAGGGTATTAATATTTCCATGAAAAATCTGTTTTCTATTTTCCCAATTCCATTTCTATCACTTTCAATAAAACGTTGTGGTTTTGTTAATAGTAATATAGAGCTTCTTCTAGTGCAATTAGATTCGAAATGATATTTCCAGTGGCGTCACAGTGGGTAAATTTATCGATATTCATGGTGAATGTCATTGTTTACCACGGGTTTTTCTGAGTTTCATATTTTTTTTTAGATTGAACTATTGAAATAACAACTTTCTTAACCTCTGTGTAATTTTTGTATCTAGCTTAATTTTTGAGGAAACAATAAAAATTCGATTTGACCCCAATTTTTAATGTAGGCGTTTTCAAGACTTCCATTGAGATTACTCAATAAACCCAATTAGAATCATTCTGAAATTTTGGGGCTTCTTCAGTCCCTATCCATACTGAATTTTGACACCATGAAAGCTGATACAGGGAAATTATAAATAAAAACAGTCAATACTTCCAACTTCAACATCCTGTATCTCAAAAACGGAGCAAGTTACACATGTTAATATGAACTTTAGTTGCTAGAATGTCACAAGGAAACACCCCTTGTATTTTTTCGGTGTTATTTCGATACACCCCTGTACGAGAATGCAAACCTATCTCCCACGGGAGAAATAGTATATTACACACCGAGATGGGAATAAAATCGCAAAAATGCCTAAAAATTCCTGAGAATTGCGAAAATTCCTGAAAATTGCAAAAATATCTGAGAATTGCAAAAATTGCAAAACTTTCAATTGCAAAAATTGCAAAACCTTCTGAAAATTGCAGAAATTGCAAAAATTCCTGAAAATTGCAAAAATCGCAAAAATGACTGAAAATTGCAAAAATAGCAAAAATTGCAAAAATTCCTGAAAATTACAAAAATTACCTACTGAAAATTGCAAAAATTCCTGAAAATTGCAAAAATTCCTGAAAATTGCAAAACTTGCAAAAATTCCTGATAATTGCAAAACTTGCAAAAATCCTGAAAATAGCCAAAATTCCTGAAAATTGCAGAACTTGCTAAAATTCCTGAAAATTGCGAAAATTGTAAAAATTTCTGAAAATTAGAAAAATTTCTGAAAATTGCAAAAATTTCTGATAATTGCAGAAATCGCAAAAATTTCTGAAGATTTTAAAAATTGCAATGATCGCAAAAATTCCTGAGAATTGGAAAAATTCCTGAAAATTCCTGAAAATTGCTAAAATCGCAGAAATTCCTGAGAATTGCAAAAATCGCAAAAATGCTTGTAAATTGCAAAAATCGCAAATATTCCTGAGAATTGTAAAAATTGCAGAAATAGCAAAAATTGCAAAAATTTCTGAAAATCAGAAAAATTTCTGAAAATTGCAAAAATCGCAGAAGTTCCTGAAAATTAAAAATTGCAAAAATCGCAAAAATGCCTGAAAATTGCAAAAATGCCTGAAAATCACAAAAATTGCAAAAATCGCAAAAATGCCTGATAATTTCAAAAATTGCAAAAATTCCTGGAAATCGCGGAAATTCCTGAAAATTGCAAAAATTACTAAAAATTGCAAAAATTGTGAATATTGCAAAAATCGCGAAAATGCCTGAAAATTGCAAGAGTTCCTGAAAATTGCAAAAATTGCAGAAATGGCAAAAATCGCAAAAATGACTGAAAATTGCGAAAATTGCAAAAATTCCTGAAAATTGAAAAATTGCTAAAATTCCTGAAAATAGCAAAAATTGCGAAAATTCCGTCTTAATTATGGCTTGTATTGCAAAAATAGCAAAAATTGCAAAAATTGCAAAAATTCCTGAAAATTGCAAAAATTCCTGAAAATTGCAAAACTTGCAAAAATTCCTGAAAATTGCAAAACTTGCAAAAATCCTGAAAATAGCAAGAATTGCAAAAATTCCTGTAAATTGCAGAACTTGCTAAAATTCCTGAAAATTGCAAAAATTCCTGAAAATTGCAAAAATTGCAGAAATTGCAAAAATCGCGAAAATGCCTGAAAATTGCAAAAATTGCAAGAGTTCCTGAAAATTGCAAAAAATCCTGAAAATTGCAAAAATTGCAGAAATTGCAAAAATCGCAAAAATGCCTGAAAATTGCGAAAATTCCTGAAAATCGCAAAAATTGCAAAAATTCCTGAAAATTGCAAAAATAGCAAAAATTGCAAAAATTTCTACGCTGTATCTGGGTAAAACAAACCGTCTTAAAAAATAGGGACACTAATTTTTATTATGAAACTGTCCTTACCAGTTGTCATATTTTGGTAAGGGAATGATGGTTCCTTGTAGCCTCATTAGTTCCAGAAGTTGGTCATTTTCTTCTTCCGATCCATCGCAAATGTGGATGTTGTCAGGTTGACATAACTTCGCGTTTTCCTTCACATAGATTTCAGCCTGAGGAAGAAAATAGTATCATTTTATTGCAAATTTCGTGAAATCATCATAAGAACATACGCCTGGGAATTCACTAGAAAAACGGTTTCTCGTAAATATCCTAACTATCCCAATATTTGTCCAAATATTTCTTTTATTCCATAACAATATATCATGAAAATGTTGGAGACTTGGCAACATTGTGCTGAATGCTGGGAACTGATAAGACCACGCCCACAATTCGGGACCGTGTTGACACGTTTACACGAGCGTTTACCGGTTCAAATGTCCTCTAATGTGAATATAAACTGCTCAACACATGAAACGTAAAATCGCATTTTTTCGATCGCATTTGAATCATCATAACTTTCGATTTCCACAACCGATTTTCAATTATTTTTCAGTTTCTGAAAGCTCGTTTCATTGACTATAGAACCTATGGATATAACTATTTTCATCTCTTTCGGATGAGATTCTACAGGATGATAATCAAAGCTGTGCATTTGAGTTATCATTTTATTTAAGAAATTTAAAAAAATAGTCCTCGCGTCTATTGTCATCTGAATACCATTAAATCAAAATAACAGCATGAGATTACGAAAAATATATAGTATGTGTTACATCAATATATTTGATATTACGATATTTGTTGACCAAATGAAGTGTAATCGATAACCTCTATTGGCCTGTTGCATAGGTCAAGCATCGGAAAATATTTCCAAGTATTTGAAAAAATTAACTAACAGAAGATTTGTTTTTATTCAAACACAACTGATTACTTCACGAATAATAAGTCTAAAAATAAATTAATCTCAATTCAAACATCATTGTAGTGAATTCCAGTCGGCTACCAATCTACCATGAATTAAATAAAAATAGACAAACGTACCTACCTGTATTTACATTTTTTCATAGGTACCCCGTTTATTTGGAAATTGTATTCTCTCGTCACTATAAAGGAATTTGCTGTACTATACAGGGTGTTTCATAATTGAATGTCAATATTCGAGGAGGCGATTCTTGGACCCAAAGTTCTCAAAAATGAATATAGCCTACTACAATGAAAAGTTATAATTTCAAAATACCAAATACGAATACGAAGTGTTTTCTTCTTATATTTGATCTAAAAAATAAAATCTATTTCTCTGCATTGTGATATTCTCATATTAACGATATAGCTATAATCATGTAGTGCAAAGCTTTTTATTTTTTTAAGCGAAAAACGTGCATCAGATTGAAAAAATTGTGGTGTACAAATTTACTTAGAAATGATTGGGAATTTCAAGAATGATTTCAATTTCGAGATTAATCAGTGGCGTACCATCAATGTCTGCCAAATTAGGTATGTGAAATTCCATTCGAACGCCACTGGTGGCAACCAAATTAACTGATGCCTCTTGATACAAAGTACATGTATCCGAATTTCATTAGAATATCTGAAGTGGTATTACAGAAATTAATAAAAAACTTCACCACCCTGTATCTCAAAAGTTAGGACGTTTTACGTTCGTTCATATGAAACTTTCTTCTTAGAATGGGCCCAAGAATTGCCTCCCCAAATATTGACATTCAATTATGAAACACCCTGTATACAGGGTCAGGCATTAGTGAGTTCAAGCTCGATTGTTCGAGTTCTATGATAGCTAGAAACTCGATTCGAAAATGAATATCAATGAAACAACAAGGTACATAGCTAGAAATAATTGCCGCGTATACAGGTCGCACCAATGAGAATCTAGAGGGTCGAGATCTTTTTTTTTTTAATGGAATGCCCTGTATATTAGCACATTTTTTCAAGCATTCCTATGATCTCCATCCACCCTCATAATATCGTTGACTATATCTCGTTCAAATGAAAGTTGTGAATTTTTCGTCGAAATAATATCATCTGCAGATGCATATAGGTACCGAAAAAAGCACTGTCGTATTCATTATGGAATTTAAAGAGAAATAATCATAATATCATCTGATTAAATGACGCGATATTTATGAATAATTTGAATACCCTCAAATTATACAGGGTGGCTGGAACTTTTCGAAGTGATTTTTCTCGAGTTTTTCAAATGAAACACCCCATATATTTTCTGGCTATTCGATGTAAAATCAGAATACGAACATATTTTAGCTCAACCCATATTGATATTCGTAACCATTTTTAAATTATCGAACTTTAATAATTTTAGGTTGTCCATTTTCATCGATACACATTCTTATCTGTTATCAAAACATCAAAAATTCAATCAATAATTCAGTAAACCAGTTTTATTATAGGAATAACTGATACCAGAAACGGAGCAAACACAAATCATTCATAATTATTATGCTATTTATTTACAAAGTAATGAAGGAAAAAATTTCCATTTCTCAATTATCCTGGTTTTGTTTTCAATGTACCATGGGAAATTAGAGAAATGGAAAAAAACTTTCTATTTGCTTCGATTCTGGTATCAATTCTTTCGATAAAAAAACTGGTTTACCAAATTATCAATTGCACTTTTGATACTTTAATAACATTCAAGAATGTGTATCGATGAGAATGGCCAACCTAAAATTATCAAAGTTCGATAATTCAAAAATGGTTACGAATATCAATATGGATATCAAGATAAAATATGTTCGAGTCTTGATTTTACATCAAATAGCCAAAAAATATATGGGGTGTTCCATTTGAAAAACTCAAGAAAAATAATTTCGAAAAGTTCCGAATTGAAAAATCATTATCAACCACCCTGTATAATTTGAGGTTATTAGAATACTTCAGAAATATCACGCATCTTCTTATCAAATGAAAGTATGATTATTTGCTCTTGAATTCCATAATTGTGACGACAGTGATTTTTTCGGAATGTATCTGGAGATTACATTATTTCGATAAAAAAATCATAACTTCAATATGATCGAGATATAGTCAACGATACTATAGGGGTGGATGGAGGTCACAGGGATGCCTCAATAAATGTGCTGATATACAGAGCATTCCATTTAAAAAAAAAATTATCTCAACTCTCTAGACTTTTATTGGTGCGCCCTGTATAAGCGGCAATAATTTCTAGTTATGGACCAAGATGTCTCATTCACATTCGATTTTGAATCAAGTTTCTAGTGTAGGCACAATATCTACTACATTAAAATACGGTGTACCGAATTAACTTGAAAGGGTTGAAAGCAATAAATAATATACACTGTGTCCAATATAAGGATGTATCTCATGGGGATCGGTTTCATTTTTTTCTGACGTTATCTGAAGAAATATGGAAAAACGAAAGACACTATATCTCATTCCCACTTTTTGAGCTCTACAAAACGGCGTTGAGAGATTTTGCGTAACAGAAATCATCAACTTCCACCCGGCGACTTTACCCCATGATAGACATCCTTATCTTGGACACACTGTATATTATTACCCACTACCTCTCAAGAAAACAAATTCAGCAGCGGTGATTCATTATTATAGGTATAGTTGAACGTTGAGTAAAATGTTAGAATTTTTGCGTTTGTTTGTTTGTCAAATTGCATATTTGAATATTCTATATGGATATATAGATGCCACCAGTAAATTAATTCCGATCCACCCCTTCAGAGGGGTAGTTTATTCTTGCACTTTTTCAAAAATCCTTGCTGACCAAGCATTTTTGGGTCGTATTTTTCCATCAAATTACATATTTAGATATCTCATATATAGATTTATAGATGCCACCAGTGAAATTATCTCGATCTACCCCTTCAGAGGGGTAATTTATTCTTGCTGTTTTTCAAAGATCCTTGCTGACCGAGCATTTCTGGTTCATATTTTTCCATCAAATTACTTATTTGGATATCTCATATTTATTTATAGATGTCACCAGTGGAATTATTTTGATCCACCCCTTCAGAGGGGTAGTTCATTCTTGCAGTTTTTCGAAAATCCTTGCTGAGCCACCATTTCTGGTCCGTATTTTTCCATCAAATCACTCTCTGAAGGGGTGGATCGAAATAATTCCACTGGTGGCATCTATAAATCTATATGAGATATCCAAATAAGTAATATGATGGAAAAATATGAACCAAAAATGCTCAGCCAGCAAGGCTTTTGAAAAATTGCAAGAATAAACTACCCGTCTGAAGGGGTGCATCCACATAATTCCACTAGTGGCATCTATATAAGACTCGATATAAGATATTCAAATATGCAATTTGAAGAAAAAATTCGAATCAGAAATGCTCGAATATAGGGTTTCACGAGACTCTCGAAATTCGAGATTTCTCGTCTCTAAATCGAGACGAGACGAGACGAGACGAGACGAGACTTACTTTTTTTTTCGAGACGAGATCGAGAAAAGCAAAAATTATTTCGAGATTTCTCGATCTCGAACTGCAGACTGCAACTTGCAATATATCTATTCAATTAGTTAGCTCTATTACGGCTTCGTTTCTTTCATAAAAAACATGAAAACGCAGTGCCCTAACACGGCACGGACTGTACTGACGAATTCATCACATATCACATATCACATAATTCCAAAGATTAGTAAACAAACAACCCTCCTGAATGAGATCAATGATTATCATTATATTTTTATTAGATTCAAACAAAAATTTTAAAGTTTTGTACAATGCTATTTTATATTTCTCGATATTTCTTTATTACAATAATTAAAAGATAATAATTATTATTATCAGTCTGGCCTTTCAGAGTCTCGAGTGCCTTCGAGACGAGATTTCTTGTCTCGATGAAACCCTACTCGGTTAGCAAGAATTTTTGAAAAACTGCAAGAATAAACTATCCTCTGAAGGGGTGGATCAAAATAATTCCACCGGTGGCATCTATATAATCTGAGTATGTGATTTGAAGGAGAAATGCGGACCAGAAATGCTCGGTCAGCAAGGATTTTTGAAAAACTGCAAGAATAAACTACCCTCTGAAGGGGTGGATCAAAATAATTTCACCGGTGGCATCTATGAATCTTCATGAGATATCCAAATAAGTAATTTGATTGAAAAATATGAACCAAAAATGCTCGGTCAGCAAGGATTTTTGAAAAACTGCAAGAATAAACTACCCCTCTGAAGAAGTGGATCGAAATAATTCCACTGGTGGCATCTATTCGCGAGATTCACGAAGTGGGAGACATCTAGGTTACATAATGCGAACTTCAAACTGGGGGAAAACAAACTGTTGTCTAAGGATAAAGGGCATAGACTACATTGCATTCAGCTTGCTGTAGCTGTAGTCAAGTGTTGGCCTGTTGGTAGTGATGATGGTCGAGTTGGTTAATTTTTTTACATTATTACACTTTCATTAGTTTATCGAACAGTGAACGGGTGAAGAATTGGAGATAGTTCAAACAATTCAAATCAATCGACATAGCTACAACATATTAAATACAAATCCATTAATCTACAGGAGTTCCTCTGGACCTCAACTTCAATTTTACTTCATGTGGGGAAGATTTCATCGCCGAAGTTTGTAGACAAAGTGCAAAAATGTGCCTTTTGTTGAAGTCTTCTGCCTCACACAAAATCACATGATTAGCACGGAGAACTGCTTCTCCTTTCACTACTGGTCGGCTTTTTTCGTCTAAATAGAGCAAAATATCTGCCAAAAGAACATCTACAACAGACATTATTAGCGTTTTCGATCGAATATTGACAATTAATGTCAAGAAATTTGAAAACATCACTCTTATCAGTACACAAGCTTATGACACTGATGGAATTGAGTGAGGATTGAGTTTGTTTTCCCCCAGTTTTGACGTGACTTTGACATGGAACGATGAATACCAAGCGCCACCTGGTAACATTGATTCCCGCGAATATATCTACATGAGATATTCAAATAAGCAATTTGAAGAAAAAATTCGAATCAGAAATGTTCGGTCGGCATACTTTATATAATTTTGGTCAGCAAATTATACTCCCCCTAGAGAAAATGAAAATTTGTGTACAGTGTGTCCAGTTTTCGATGCTTTTGTCTGATATCTCAGTTATCTTTGGAGATAGAAACTTGCGGTTTTCGCGGTCCTGTGCCACTTTTTTGTGAAACTCAAGATGGCCTAATCAGGTTTTGCGAGACTGTTTCCGTTTATGAGATACAGGGCGATTTTGAAAATTTATACTTTTTGGACCCCCTCTATATCCACGAAGTTTCTCAACAGAAATGTCAAATCAAGATCTTATCGCATAGTGAATTCCACGCGTAATCCAGTGGCGCACTTGAATTTTTTTTCTGGGTATGGTTTTGGAGATACGACTCAAAATTATGATTTTTCAAATGGAACACCCTGTATTTCATAAGCTCATTAAATTCCTTATTTTTTGTCTTCAAAATGATATAACGAAAGAATTTAAAATTTTCAAAATTGCTCAAAATCACTAATATATTGAATTTTGATAGTTGGTTATGGATTTTTCTTATAAAAAACGTTCAAATTGAAGAAATATTTCTTCAAATTTTTCTATGGAGAGGTCAAAACCAATATCAACACTTATTAATCAACAAAACACTAAACTTGGGTACCTGATAGCAACAAATAAATAGTAATAAAAAGTTCATAATGTAGAATAAGCACCTGATTGAATATTTACTAAAACAATTGAATTCCGGAATTATTCAGTAACTTATCCATTGACATGTTCAAATATCAATTTTCCCTAACATACAGTTGACAAACTTTCTCAATACATACTTCTTAATACAGTGAGTGGCCCAACATACTTGAAGAACTTTGTGCAACAACAGAGGCAGTTTTCCAGGAATTACAAAGACATCTTTCAATGATTAATATGTATTGAGAAAGTTTGTGATGGAAAATGGACATCAATTTGAACAATTCAATGAATGAATCACTGAATAATTTCGAAATTCAATTGTTTTAGTAAATATCCAATCAGGTGTTTATTCTACATTATAAACTTTTTATTACTATATATTTGTGGATATCAGGTATCTAAGTCTTGTGTTTTGCAAGTTAATTAGTGTTGAAATTGTTATTTCCCCCTTCATGGAACAATCAAAGGAAATATTCCTTCAATTGTAAATTTCTTTATATGAAAATCCCTCGTAAAACCCATAGCCCACTATTAAAATTCAATGTTTTAGTGATTTTTGAACATTTTTGAAAATGTTATATTGATACATCATATATCATTTCGAAGGGAAAAAATAAGGAATTTAATGAGCTTGTAAAATACAGGGTGTTCAATTTAAAAAATCATAAGTTTGAGTCGTATCTTCAAAACCATACCCCGAAAAAAAATGTTTGTGCGCCACTGGATTCTGCATAAAATTCTTCATGGGTTAAGATTTCAATTTGACATTTTCGCTAATAAACTTCGTAGATATAGAGGGGGTCCAAAAAGTATAAATTCTCAAAATCGCCCTGTATCTCATAAACGAAAACAGTCCTGCAAAATCTGATTGGGCCATCTTGAGTTTCACAAAAAAGTGGCACAGGACCGCGAAAACCGCAAGGTTCTATCTCCAAAGATAACTGAGATATCATATGCAAAAGCATCGAAAACTGGACACACTGTACATCATAAACTCTCGCATAAACTGCACCTTGATGCATAAAATACGTATATCAAATTTCATGAAGATGTATACAATATCGTCTCAGTTATCATCAAGAAACTGAATAGTTTTCATATAAAGTTTTTTCTTAAAATGAGTCAAAAAATCACCCTCTCAAATATTAGCATGTCTTCAAGGAGCATCCTGTATAAGTACTCACTTTTTGGGACAAGTCCTGCCACTGGCCACTCGCCAAGCTGAGTCTTCTGATCTGGCTCTGAGCCGTCCATGCCGATTGGTTCAAACTCAGAGAAGCCTTGGCATTCCCGCATCTGCCCAAATCTCCGGCAAACCTGCAAAGTGACAAGCCTCTTTTGGTCAAAATCAACAGGAGCGGCTTCATCGCGTTTCGGTGCCCGTTTCTGATACGTTCTGATCGACCGTTCGTATCGGACTGGTCTAGGTCTAGAGTGATTGTCGGCCGATGACTGATGAGCCAATGATTCGGGGAATAAACAAGATTATTGCTGCCTGCATCTACGATAGAAGACGCACGTAATTATCTCTAACGCTCTAAGAAAATAAGGGGCAGTGTTGCCAACAACCTATTTTAAAAACGGCTAGATGATTAAAAACTGTCTGTAGGTTAATCGAGGAGGTCAGGGAGCCTAAAAGAAAAATCCAGTAGCTTGTCAGTGACAATTTTTTTGAAAAAAGAAATGAAAGAAATATAGACATATTGAAAAAAATAGTTATTTATTATACAAGGGAAAAAAGTAGTAGATTTTAGCTCCAGGTTGTGTTGTCTCCCGACGCGTAGCGGAGGGAGACAAAAAACCGTGAGCTAAAATCTAATATTTTTCCCGTGTATAATACACTATTTTTTTCTGTGACAGAAGGAAGGACGAATCAACATTGAGAAGATATTACATTATTTCGAAATCTGAAAATTATCGACGTGAAATTTCAAGTTTTTAACAGGAGGGACACCTGCGTTTTATAGGCATCTTTATCATTCTTTTGAAGTTATCAAATATCTGATGTCACTTCTGTCAGTTCAATTCTGTGATTTGATTTCAAAAAATTGCGAATTCAGTAGTTGTTTAGTAATATACGAAACTGCGAAGTCGAATGGAAGATAAAAGGACTTGCAGTTCTTTCTCGGAGACGGTATTATTGACTCATTTTTCGGAACTATAGCACAACAAAAGCCATTAACAGAGTATATATATGTGATATATATCCGGGAAAAAAGTACTCACTTTTTTCCCACGGGAAAAAAGTAATTTATGAAAAGTGACATTTTATAACCTGCCAACAGAGATGAAATGCCAAACTTCTTTCCCGTCACAGAAAAATAGTTATTTATTATACAAGGGAAAAAAGTAGTAGATTTTAGCTCCAGGTTGTGTTGTCTCCCGACGCGTAGCGGAGGGAGACAAAAAACCGTGAGCTAAAATCTAATATTTTTCCCGTGTATAATACACTATTTTTTTCTGTGACAGAAGGAAGGACGAATCAATATTGAGAAGATATTACATTATTTCGAAATGTGAAAATTATCGACGTGAAATTTCAAGTTTTTAACAGTAGGGACACCTGCGTTTTATAGACATCTTCATCATTCTTTTGAAGTAATCAAATATCTGATGTCACTTCTGTCAGTTCAATTCTGTGATTTGATTTTAAAAAATTGCGAATTCAGTAGTTGTTTAGTAATATACGAAACCGCGAAGTCGAATGGAAGATAAAAGGACTTGCAGTTCTTTCTCGGAGACGGTATTATTGACTCATTTTTCGAAACTAAAGCACAACAAAAGCCATTAACAGAGTATATATATGTGATATATATCCGGGAAAGAAGTACTCACTTTTTTCCCACGGGAAAAAAGTAATTTATGAAAAGTGACATTTTATAACCTGCCAACAGAGATGAAATGCCAAACTTTTTTCCCGTCACAGAAAAAATCTAATTTTTACTTATCTTTGGACGTTTCGAAACCGAATCTGCTCACGTTCTCAACATGAAAATGCAAAATATTTCTCTTTGGAAGTTGTGCTGCTTATAGTTTGACACTTGTAAGTTTCATGCTGATGTTGGCATATGAATGAGTGATTTTAGTCTATAAATGAGTTACAGGATGTTTTCATTAATTGATCTTGAATCCACCATTTTCAGTTGATATAGATGGAACATGGTATTCACTACTTAAAACTGAACATGAAAATGGTAGATTCAAGATCAAATAATGAAAACATCCTGTAACTCATTTGTAGACTAAAATCACTCATTCATATGCCAACATCAGTATGACACTGAAAAGTGTCAAACTATAATAAGCAGCACAACTTCCAGAGATAGATATTTTGCATTTTCATGTTGAGAATGGGAGCAGATTCGGTCCCGAAACGTCCAAAGATAAGTAAAAATCCAATAGTTTTTCAATATATCTATATTTCTTTCCTTCAAACATTTTTTCGAACAAATTGTCACCCTGATTGATAAATTTGTTGAACGCAGTGACATTTTGGGGCAAATCATCTGATTTGTCCAACTACAAGTATATTATATAATAATACGCATATTTTTATTTTATAGACGCGAGGAGAGAAAATCCCAAAAAATCAAATGAAATGATGCTAGATTTTTGTTGGAAAAAGGCTGAATTATGGCTGAAAATGAAAGCGCGCCGCAACCGAAAAATTTTTTAGCCATTTTTTGGCGAATCTAGCCATTTTATTGGAATAGGTTTAGCAAAAACAATAAATCTGACAATGGACTACGATTCTGACATTGAAATTTTAAATCTAGAGCTATTGATATTGACGTATGACGTGATGTGTTGACGTCATTAACGTCAACGTCAATGTTTCTTCGATTCATGTGCATGACAAAATGCCCTAATTTCTCGAAATGGCACGGAGTATGACGTACAAAATCCATAGGAATACAGATTGGTCTAAATTTCACTATAAGATTAGAGTCCCTTGGTAAATTGACGTATTTGTCATCTTAACAGGGTGCGGACAGATCCTCTCGTCTTCTCTCACTCTGAAGTGTTTGTGAAACAGTTATATAGTTCCATCTTTATTTATTTCTGGGAATAGACACTAGATTTCTGACAATTGTTGTTTTTTAGGTTATATTGAGGACATTGGCGTATCATACGTAATTTCCACATGTAATTTCTCATTCAACTCTACATATTTTATCCAAATGATGATGATAATTCTCTATTGATTTTTCAACTCTAGCATAATCTTTGTGAGGCAGTGAGCAATTTTTTCCGAAAGTTTAATACGTTTTACCAAATGGGACTGTTCTTATAGGCAGTACCTATCAATAAATGAATTTTGATTTCAGACTAAGCCTTATGGTTGAGAAATGGTGAAAAATGTTATGTAGGTATTCAAATTAATGTGCTCATATGTCATGTGTGCTGTATATATTCATGTTGTGAATCATTTTTGGACTTTCACGAACAATTAATATCTCCTGAATGTAGGTATAATTTTTCAAATGGTAGGACATATGCCTCTCCTTTTAATCCTCCGTTTCAATCAAAACTGTTTCTACTGAAATGCATTCAGAAACTTGTGGAGTGGATAATTATAGGCACAATGAGAAAGTGTTTTACCTCGAATATTTTGCTGATGTATTTATACCAATTTTCCCCATTCGGTCACTTCACTTTCCATGTTCTAAGTTTATTTGCATTTGATGGAAAGCTGACAAATTCAAATATGCCATCCAACTGATTGATACAGCTTAACGCAGCACATATTTTACCATCCTTCCAAAACAGAATTAAATAATGTCGTATTAAGATAAAGTATGAATTCAATTGTAAGATCTCTTTTAACGCCTATGAATGTGACGTGACAGCAATGTCATGTCAGGGACGCCAATACACGAAACCACGAAGTCACTAGATGATCAAAAGAGAAAGAAGCCATGATCTGTCCATACCCTGTTAGATGACAAATACGTCAGTTTGCATCAAGGGACCATAATATATAAGATTAGATCGAGAATATAATGAACTGCCTATGGGAATATTATAAAAATGAAACTATTTTAATAGAATTGCAGAATAAAAAATATATAAGAAATGGCTAAATGGATAGATGCAATTTTCAGTAGCTAGATGAGTTCAAAAATTGGTAGAACTAGCTATAAAATGGCTGAGTTGGCAGCACTGATAAGGGGACTTTATCGCTATCGCTACTGTGTTTCGAAAGGAGCATGAAAAGCGATTGGGTCGACAATAATAGTTGCCAAATTATATGGAGCAGTGGCGTAATTAAGGGGGGTCCATGGGGTCTGGATATCCCCCAGAACTGTCTGGGAAAACGAATGTTTCAATTACTTCCTCGATTACTTCACGGAAAAAAAGGATTTGTTGCATCAACAAGATACATGATTATTTCATGGAAGCAACTTGTTCAAATCAATAATGTAATTTAATTAAATCAACAGTATAATATCAATTCCCACAACAAAATATATGGTTATATCAAAAGCAAATTATGTCGATCCAAAATAAGGTTGGTGTTGATTCAACTACAAATAAATAATAATCATTTTGATGAAAATTTATCTTTGAAACAACATACATACAAGTTTTCTTATTCCGATGTAGTAATGAACTCATTCCGAACGGATCATTTGCTTGAATAGAGCAACGAAATATGTGATGTTATTAAAAAATTTTGTTCATTCAATATAAAGTTGAACTTTCGTCACTAGATTGTGATCTTTTCGCCTCGTCTATGCCTTCCTCGAATTTAGTACATACCTGATTCTTCGTCTTTGATATATCAGCTGGATAAATCGAAATTAGGATGCAACAAAACAATTTGTCGAATGGAAATACTTGAATCAACGAATTATTTCATTGGATCATCAAAATATTCCATTGAATCAACCAAATTTTTCAATGATTCAACCAAATATCAAATTCGCTCCGAAACCAGATATAGATTTGCTCATTTCAAGATTATATTTTGTCGTGCATATATGACACTTATATTAGCTTCATTTAATTAAATTTTGCTAACAATTCCTGTTTTTCCGTGTTCTGTAAGTTGAGAACGGCATTTTTCGGAAAGTGCTCATCCAAAAATGTTGAAATATAGGACACTGTTGAAAATGTGCATTTTAACCCCCTTTTCATGTGAGGTTCAGTTTTTATGTCATCTGGAGAAAATAATTAGGTATTTGTTTTAATAGGCAGAAAAGTACAAGATTTAATGCCGCGGCTGGCGTTTCATAGCCTAGGCGTAGCCGAGGCTAGGAAACCAGCCAAAAGGCATTAGGTACATCTTCTTTTCTGCCATGTGAAACATTCAATTTTTTACTCCAAATTCTTTTCATATTCATGCAAAGTCCAAATTTTAATA